TTGTCTGCACACCATACTTTATGGATCTTATGCATTTTAGGCTTTTCTAAATCTCACTCATTTACTCGTAAATCTTGGTATATGTTACATGCTTGCATCTCTACTTTTCTGGATCTCATCCATTTCTATTGTCAATATTGTCCTACACAATCCTATAAATGCATAGGTATTTTCTAAATCTTATTGTCAGTTATTTATTTCTCATGCATTGTCTTTCACCCCTTTCTAATTTCCACAGAATATGTCGACTGGCCACGGGCAATGAGTTTTTCTTTTTCTTTGTTGGATTTAAAAGAGACTTTAAGTCTTGTAAAGTACAATGAATGTGTTTCGTTGAAGTGCTTTTGCATTTTTATTTTTTTTGTATGCACGTTGATAACTAGACGAAGAGAAAGAAGTTGACTTTCCATAGTAGGAACAAATGCATCCACATTTGTTACTTGCTATGGACTTCTAATGGGACTAAATGCTAAAGGATTATCTCAATCAAGCACCTTTGATGAAAGAAAGGTGCCATTAATTTGAATGGTTTGAACGATCAGATATCTAGTTTAGCCAATCTAAGGTTTTTAATTTATTAGGACAGTTTAGAGTCTTAATTTCAAGATAAGAGATTCGTGAAGTTGTACCCATATTGACAGGCTGTCGATTCCTGTGCAATAATAAAAATAAATCTATTTGTCAATTAAAATAATCAAAATCCAATTCTGAGTACTGGAGCAGGGAGTCTAGGTGTGCAATGGGTTATTTGATTCACCCTGTTCCCGAAGAATTTGCTTAACCCCATATACCAGAATGAGATTGGTTATTCACAAGAAATTATTGATTTGTAAACAGGACAAGTAGGGTCGTATCCTCAGGGATTGGAAAAAATTCGTTTCTTTTCAAATCCACAGTAACAAATGGGAGTTTTTGTATAAACGATGACAATCAAAGGAATTCAAATAAAAATAAATAGCTAACTAGAAATTAAATGACAATTCACTAAAATTAGAGTAATAATAATTAAAGGTCTAGTCAAGAAATAACTTCAGCAATGGTTCACCTAATTGATCATCGATGCAAAGGGATTCCAATTATTTACTGATAAATAGGTTATAACTGTCAAACAAGCGATGACAGTCAATCCCTCCTTACTGTGTCGGTGATTAAGGTACGCCCGTTAATCACTGTTCTAATTGAGAAATAATCTTAGGTATGCCCATAAGATTTAATTCCCCAATTGCCTTACGTATTAGAGGAACCCTATTCTAACCAAATAACGCACTACCAGTGTTATTTTAGATTAGTCTGCGTATTCTCCTGACACAAACCTAATCATGCCAGTTGTCACTATTTTGAGGCAATTAAACAATTACGAATTTAATACCCCAATTGACAATAGATTATTAAATCAACTCATTATCCGGATCCAAAACAATCAATTAATTAAATAATCATAAGCACTGCAATCAAGAAATATACAAATACCAATAAATAAGAAGAGAAGATAAAATTAAATCGATCTCATAATTTTTAGGCGAACCAAAACATCTGTTATTTCTTGACTAGAAAGGGGAATTTAGTTCATCTGGATACGAAAAACTCGCACAAAGGTGAAGCAACAGCCGTGGCCATCAATTTGGTAAATTCAATTCGTTGGAATACTGACGAAAAAGCAAAGCTACAGGAAGTGATTAAATGTCTTCACTTCATCTGGTCATACGAAGGAAGAAAAAGTTACTAAAGGACAAAACGGAGAATTTAAAGGCTAATCTGTAAAGTAGTGCTAGTTCTCTGCTATTTCTATTTCCTATCTAATTAGCCTACTGCTACTGTGCGGCGTCCCCTCCCTGAAGAAGAAGACTCCAGCCTTTTTGCTTTTTGAATGCTGTCTTCGGCCAAATTACCAAAAAGGGATCGCGTCTTGATATTTCAAAAATGCTCTTGGATGTCTGATACTTGAATTCTTTCCTGATGACGGTCAAATTAGTACTTGTTATGGTATTTTCGTTCTACTCCCTGAAATAAATACAAATTGTCAAAAGTGAGTAGAATCTAGCAATTAATTCACATCGGATCAGGTAATAGGGGAAATTAATAATAAAATAAATGATAAATTTGTAACCTATCAATTTCCCCCATACCTAAATCTTGCTTGTTCTCAAGCATGAGAACAGCAAACAAACACCAATATTTGACAATGGCTATTGCTCTATCTACCATATTGTCAAGATACCAAGAAAACATAGATCAAGATCCAAGAAACATCACCCCGGTTAGCTTTTAAATCATAAACTCCTTCAATTCTAGGTTAACTAATCTAAGAAAAAGAAATGGCGCACAACATTTATCAGCAAATGGTCCAACTATTAACCAAAATCTCAACATTAAATCCATAATTCGGCAAGCTGACTTGTATCACACACTAACACAACCTTCATTTTTTTTCACGGTTTTTTTTCCTCTTTTTTTTTTCTTTTTCAATAGTAACAAAAGACTTAGTCTCTAGCCATTAGAGCCTTTTAACGCGAGCTCTAACATTTATCAGATGAAAGAGCCCGGTTACTCAGTTCCTATTGTCACGCGATCACGTACTCATAGCAATTACTACTTTTTTACGCGAGAATCGACACTTTTGGTGAAGATCCCCGGTTACTCAGTAGTAACAACTAGCGGAGTACAGTCAACTTTTATTCACAGTCAGATAACACAATAACTCAAAATAACACAACAAAAAAAATAAAAATAGCCGCAGCTAGCCTCATTTCTTCAAACATGGAGAACTAAAATTAATAATTGGACCAATTCACATGAAAAATGCCAACAATATTTCCTATGCCTGGAAAAATTAACCAAAAATTAGAAGAGTCAAACAATCACCGATATTTACCAAAGAGATGTTCTTGGACTCAACCACATTAACTTGATACATTTTTATTATTAAAACTTAGTAATAGCAGAATTAGAGTCAACAATCCAACATCAAACCTTAGTATTCACATGAGAGCTGATCACTAAAAAGAAAGTACCCGAAAACTAGACAAATAACAAACTAAAAATAAAAGAAAATGGTTAAACCTCAATAATAATGGTAATTAAAATGACAAATTCCTTATTAAAAGTATTTAGCGGTCCTTACATTCCATCTCCAATTGTTATGCGTGTGTCAAAGTTTCTTACCCAAAGAAATTTCTTACTCGAAATAGTGTAATTAATTGCATCAGCCACAATTTTAAAATTGTAAAATATATTAGTATATAAAAAAAATAGATGCTCTTGAAACAAAAGAGAAATAGATAAAAAGAAAAGTGTCCATATTTATTTGAAGAATCTTGATATGAATATTACGACACATATGTATAATTATGTTCTTTTGTTAATATGAAAAAGTACTGAAAGAAAAGCACAAGTAAAAGAATTCAACAATTTCTATAAGTTGAATGTCAATTGACAACTAACCTCAGCAACAGTTAGAAAAAATGTAAATAATCTTTTATTCAACAATTACTAACCCAGTAACACTTAGAAAAACTGTAAATAATCCAAATTCACCTCACATTATTCAATTTAAATTTACAAAAAAAAATTGAAAAGTTCAACTAGAAAGAAATAAAGTACGGTTCATATATTTTATTCTTAAATAATTAATTCATTCTAATTGTAAAATTGCATTTCATTTGCCTTAACAAGGAAAAATAACATTCAAAATGTTGATACAACTTTTTTCATTTATTTAAATTTGTACGGTTCATATATTTTATTCTTAAATAATTAATTCATTCTAATTGTAAAATTGCATTTCATTTGCCTTAACAAGGAAAAATAACATTCAAAATGTTGATGCAACTTTTTTCATTTGTTTAAATTTGTTGATTTTATTAGAAACTTAACCCTGGGTTTTATTTTTTTAAGTGAAAAAAGGCACATCTAAATTCTTGCTGGTAAACGAGCTTTCCAAGGGGTAAAAGAAGGGATGAGTATGGTGAAAATAATTAGAATGATTAAAATCTAACAAGTCAATTTATTTACTCTAATCCCCTTTAGAAATTGATTTTATGATTTAAGTCTTTACTTTGCTAATAATTATGAATTCTATTTATTAGACTTGCATTTGTAGAGAATGGAGATTTGTGTAATAAAACAAAGATTATGTAAACAAAAATGTAAGCTCTTTCATTAAAAAAAAAAGTGTGTTTCCTTGAAGAGAGAATTTTTGATGCAAACAACCTCTTTCCGTCTCTGAAGATTTTAATTTGACTGTCATTAAGTTCTCTAGAGGAACAAACAATTGCAAAGCTGAGACTAGTTGAATAACAAAGTATAAACATTGCTCAACAAAATTACCATTTCGTTTCTTTGATTTTTCATTTTGATCAGTTTGAATAGTTAATCACTTGGAATGGAAACTAAAAGATGAAACATCAAAAGAAAAAGCTTTAGAATATTTACTTTCTTTAGACATCCAAAAGTACCTTTGCTAATTTGAAGATAAAGAAAGTTTGCGAATGAAAACAGTAAAGAAGAAAGACACACGTAAAGATTACTCTTGTACAAGTTTTTTTTATTTCTGGATCTATAAGACACCCATTTGACGCAAATTTTACCATTCTTTTGCTACGCCCCTTCTCTATTGAAAAGTAGCATGACCAAGATGTATTTTTTTTTTCTAGTCTCCATTGAAAATAATTGTTGTATGTCTTAACATTTTAATTAATTGAGTGTATGGTTCTTTGTTAAGGAAAAACAAAAGCAAGTTAAAAAGTTTCTGTTCTACTCTGATTCCAATACAAAGAAGGAAGAGAAAAGTGTGTCTTGCATATAAGCTTGTGCTCAGCTAGTTATAAGCATCACATCAAATCAATCTGTAGCAGCATTGAAGAAGATTTCAGGAATTGAGATTACACAAGTTTAAACTCTATTAAACATCAAACCAGAAAAGATCATGGAGAACATTTTACAAACAGTGTGTGATAGATAATGTTGGACTGATTGATGCGTGATTATGCTTGCCACTGCAGTCACAAAGTTGCTGCTAGCTGCATCATGTCATACCAAAAACTTAAGAGAAGTGGCTCTGTTTCTGAGGGACTTGGCTCAATTGAGTCTGTTTCTGAGCCACTTGATTCTTCCTCTGTTTCTGAGGGACTTGGCTCACTTGATAAATCTGTTTCTGAGGAACTTGATTCTTCTTCTTCGTCTTCTTCTTCTTCTTCTGAGTCACTTGATGTATAGCCAAAATGTTCAATTACGATCCTTAGAACTTCGTTTCCCATATCCATCTGTTCTTGTTGAATTTGCTCCACTGAACTTTCAACAGACTCGCTACACCGTCTCACCTCGATCATTTCAAGAGTCGGACATTCCCCTAAACAAGAAGGCACCTCTTCCAGCTTCGTACAATCATGCACAACCAATTTCTCAAGACGGGGAAAAATAGCAGAAGATGCAATCCAGCTGCAAATGCAAGCCAGACAATTTCAAGACGCGGAGGTTGGGGAACTCCCCATCTTTCGTTTCCCATTCCTCCCCATCAAAAGAGCGATAGAGTAATTTAAGCACTTCAAGATTGGGCAATTTTCCAATTGTTGAAATTTCACTCCATGGCTGATGATTACGTAAGAGGGTCAACTGCTTCAAATTCAATGGGAATTTAAATCCATATCCAGCAAAAAATGACAGATTGAGTGATTCTAGTTGACTCAAAGACTCAAACACGAGAATCCCGTCACCAATTCTGGTAGGTTCTTCTCTTGATTCGCAGGATCTCGTACATTCTAGCTTGCGGATGCTTGGAAACTTTGTCAGCATCTTTTGCAAGCTTTGAGAGGAGGGATCAATGGCAATGTTTAAAGTGTCTAAATGATCTAAACATGGCGATACTTCAAGATTTTCAACAGGAAAAATAAAACCACAATCGTCACCTGTATGTAGATGCCTCAATGTCTTAATGTTCCAGATAGTCTTCGGTAACCAACAATCCACATCCAATCCACTAGCCACTAAAGTTTGTAACCTTGAGAGGTTGTCTATTGCAGATGGGATGGATTTCAATCTTGCAATATCAAGTCCCAAGAATCGCAAATGAACAAGCAATACTACTTCCATAGGAAAAACTGCAACAGAATTGATGCCTCCTAAAATCAACACTCGAAGAAGTTTAGGTAACGAAGACTCCAAATCCAACACAGTAAGCTCAAAACATTGAATCAAGATCATGGTGCGTAAATTAGGAAAAGATAGCATTGCCTCCGGAGTCTTTAATTTCCTGGAATTTGTATCATAAACTCCTCGGTAGGCGTTGCTTAGGCAAGCAAGACTATAAGGATCTTTCCCATGACGAATATTATGTATAAAGTTTTCTTCTTCCAATTTTTGCACACAAAACTCATGCACCAAATCGTGAAGTCTGCAGACTTTGGTATCGCCCGCACTTCCTTGTTCGGTAACCATAACTAAACTTCTATCAACCAGAGCCGTCAAGTAGTCGTTGGCCACATCCTCTAAGCTCTTTCCTTCAGTCTTTCGTACAAATCCTTCAGAGATCCAAAGCCAGGAAATAATGCAGACATCAGATATTTTGCCTGCTGAAAATAAACAAAAGTAAAGAAGGCATGACTTCAACTCATCTGGTAAATGACTATAACTCAACTCAAGTGTCTTCTTGCAGTATTCATCGGCAAGGACACTACTGGAAGTTAGACTCTTCGCAACTTCTTTCCAGTAATTTTCTGCAATATTAGCAAAAATACCAGCAACAAGGACAACCGTAAGAGGTAAGCCCCTACAAAATTTTGCTATTTGAGATCCAACTTCGATTAGTCCCGGAGGGCATCCTTCTTCACCAAATAACTTTTTCTGCAACAATTTCCAACTCTCTTCATCAGTAAGCTGCCGAAGATGGTAAGCGTTGCTATCAGGACTGAATTGCAATTCAATTCTGCTGGTAAAAAGAATCCTGCTTTCATTAGCATCATCGGGCAATGAACTTTTCACCAAATTCCATGCCTCAATCTCCCAGACATCATCCAAAATGATAAGATACCTATTTCTCTTCAAACGCTTGTACAGCATGTGAGCCAAATCAGCTTTATCCATCTCAAGATATCGATCAGGACTCTCAGAACAAATACTACACAAAAGCTGAACTAATAAACTCCGTATGCTATATACTTGAGAAACATCACACCAAGCAACGATATGAAAGTGCCTCAAAATTAATGGATCATTGTAAATTCTATTGGCCAATGTTGTCTTACCAAGTCCACCCATACCCACAATTGAAACAAAATCCAACAGCTTTGAACCCCTGGTAAGCCTATCAATAATTGTCTTTACCTCATCATCAAGACCCACCACAACGTCATTCAACACTGGGGTGCTACGTTTTGACTCAACGTGGAAAGATTTCCGGTTAGTTCTCTGAGCTCCAGTGTCATGCCTCGTGCACTCATAGGTTTCAATCTCAGTCCTCAAAAGCTGGATATCTCTGACAACACTTTCCAAATATTCATGTTTATCACCAATCACAATAGAGTCAATGACAAACTCTGCCCTGTAAGCAACCTCTATAACACGACTCCAAAGAGCTTGGAGTTTTCCATTCCGGTTGCGCTGGTCTACTATCTTGCCAAGAAAAGATCTTAAGAATACAAGATCATGTAGGACTGTGTGGATTTGATCATTTGGGAATGCAATTGAATCATCAGCCCCATTACAACTTTCCAGTTCAATCAGATTTTCAATGAGAAAATCCATAGAGCCCAACTCATTCGTCCTAGGAAAACCAAATGGTGATACTGATGTTACTGGATAAACCTGTGCAACTTCTGCCCTAACAAACTTGAGCACTTTGAGCAAATGAAAAAGAGCAACATCATTTTCCTTGGCCAAGCCTTCTTTGATCAATTGATTCACAGAAAGTGAGAAAATTACGATTGCTGCATCACAGACCACAACTCCAATAAGAGTCTTCATTTCATGGCGTAGCTCTTTGAACTTCTCCGGATGCCTCAGAAGGATTGTCAAGAATCTTAGCCCATCAAGGAGTTTTTGCATGTGAAATATAATCGGAACCAGAATACTGGTACAAGATTCTAGCAACTCCGTAATATTGTGAACAAGACAATCCACAAAGTCAACTACTAGATGCTTATTCTTCTCCAGAGCTGAAGTGTCTGATGACCTTGACAACTTTGAAGCAGTCAAGACATGGATATAAGTTTCTCGAACTTGTGGATCACTGGGAATAATCTTCTCACCTATTAGTTGAGAAATTTGAAGTTCCGTTTCATTGCGTACTTCACCTTCTCTGTCAAACCACCATATAGAAATCAGGCGTAGTGCATTGATAGCCACCACTTCAGCGTGAATTAAGAGATCTATCAATTGCTGACCCTGAAGCATGGCAAAGCGAATGAAACTTTTCCAGAACATTAGCTTCTCTTTAAGGGTTCCGAATACGTTCCTTTCGCGGAGTTCCGCCAGATTCTTTGAAACCGAATCAATGAAATCAATAACTAGTTCTGGTTCTCTCAGCCAGTAACAGTCCAGCAGAAAGTTGATGCACAATTCCTTGATATCTGTCTCGAAAAACAACTTTATTGCTTCCCGGAATATGGTGAGCTCACTTTTGATTTGAGTCAAACCAGGTAAACGAGAATGAATCAAGTATTCGCTGCAAGCAAATACAAGATCTGGCATTCTTCTTTTAATCAGATTTTGAATTCTGAAAGAAGCAACATCCTTCTCCTCCTCATCTCGTTCCAAACAGGTTTCATGGTTCCTCCTCCTCCTACACATTCTCAGATACAGATCAAAGGTTTGTAACAGCCTCACCTCTTTCTCTAGGTTCCAGATATCAAAACACAACTCATACTCCAGGGTCTTATTCATCCAGCCCAGATAATCTAGAGCGGAATCAAAGCAATCAGTGCTACTACTGGAGGATATCTCCATCATTGTATCTTCTCTTCACTCTGAGATCAAATTTGTATCTTGAATAATAAACTCAGTTCAAGGTTTACAACTTTCTGATTATCTGAAAATTGTCAAATTGGCTAGACTCTTTTTTTTCTTTTTCCGTTGCAATTTGCAAAGACTCTTTATCTTGTCTAGTTGTCTTGGTGGAGACTTTAGTCTACTTTCGGCCTAAACGAGTCAGCTTTTGTCTACTTTCGGCCAAAGTGCATTCGCAAATATTGGTAGAAAATGACACCAATTCGGGGCAAACCTGCATACTAAAGCGGCCGTAGTAAATGGTTGTAATACGTACTCTTCATTTTCGATATCTACACGAAATTGTAAAATAGGGAATATAATACTAAAGCAGTAAATAGTTATATTTTCACCAGAATGTAAACACAATACTCAAAACTGCTCCGTCAATATTTTCCAATACTCAAATCTGCTCATATTTTCCATCAATGCCATCGTCAATATTTTTTCCCTTTCTTTCGATAGTGTACTTAAAAAGTGAAACAATATGAAGATAACAAGAAATGACATGCCCAAATAGTAATTGTTGCTGCAATAACAATTTGATGGTTCGTAAAATCCAAACTTAGCTAAGGTATCAGATAAATTAAGGAAGTTGATTGCGTTAAAAACTGAAGCTTGAAGAAACGTACCTTTAAAGGTATCCTAAGATGCCACACCCTTTTAAATATAAAAGATGAATTCTAAGTTAGGACTAAATTTTACTGACTAATTTGATTTTGTAAAGAATATGTAAAATTGCCATTTTAAAAGTGAAGAGCAAAAAATTTCATTTGAGGAAATGTGAGGACGTTTCGAACAATTTTTCCTTTCATAAAAATAAACATCCATGCAAAATCTTTCCAGCAAAAATTTGACATATTTCACCTCACAAAATTATATGTCTCAAAACATCAAAAAGTGAAAGACTGGGATAAATTGTATTAAAAAAATCTCTGAGTAAGACCCAAATGCTTGGTTGAACACTCCCTTAAAATTTATATAGCAAGTACAGTAACTTCAACTCCCTTAAATTCTCAAGGATAAGAGACGTCACAATCTTCTCAAAGTTGGCTAAACACTAAATTGATGGAATCTGATGTATATAAACGCTAACTCGGAGACTTGGATATAGAATAATTCAAACAAGTCTTGATCCTTCATTGAAAATCAAGAGGAATATAAATCAACCGCATAATCAAAGCTATGTGCTCAAAAAATATATCCTATTTCAACTGCAATTTATTAGGATTTTTATAAAAAAAATACTTTGACAATGTGATATACGCAAGATAAAAAATAATTAAAAATGTATTAAAAGAATAATCTAGAAATTTTTCTATGAAAACTCACAATCTGAACGGAACTTATGATTTATAGAGTCGAAATACTTACTTGTTAACAAATCCTTTTGTGGTTGCCTAACATCTATATCTTGTATTGTTTTGGAAAATCTGAATCAGAAGGAACATATTAATATAAGACCCTGGGACTTCACAACCTCAACCCAAGTCACTGAAACAATCTGAAACCAGTCTCCTTTCTAGGATAATTTACCCCATTCACATGATCAGGCCAAGATAGAGCTTCTGGCCGCAATTGTCTCACATCTTTACTCATAATGTCATATCGTGGTAAGTTATACATTATTTTTTGAAGGGAGTTATAAATTATTTTGAATCCAATCTTTTGTTCACCGTAGTTATTAAAAGTGCTAGTAAGTTATACATTAATAAACCACTGGGATTGGTCCAGTAGCAAGGGGAGCACTCTTAGAATCTTCCTAGTTTCTAGATTCAAGATTCAAATATTGTGTTTAGCAGTTGAGATTTGGAAGAGTGTAGGAAGGATTCAAATCTTGTGTCTGACAGTTAAGGTCAGAAAAGTGTGGGAAGGGGTGAAAGGGTTAAAATTATACATTATTTGATGCGTATATTAAACAAACTAGAAGTATTACTCGAATTTGATTCGTTTATTTGTACAAATATTCGAATTTGAGTTCAAGCCCGACTTATTGAACTAAACGAGCAGAATTTGAGCTTGAATTTGAGTTTGGAGATGATTTAATTATATTTTTAATAAATAATATATTATTTTAAAAAAAGTTTAATTGTATTTTTTGATTTTAAAAAAAGTTTAAATACTAATTTATGTATAATTACGTTTTTAGTAAAATATAATATATAGTATTAAATGTATTTATATATTTTTTATAATTGCATATATGTTTGCGAACTAATCAGGTTCGTGTTCAACTCGATTATTAACTGAGCCTAATATCGTGTTTGAATTCGATTAATTTGTTAAACGATCTAACTTTTTTCAAACAAGAACAAGTCGAACAACATGTTCGTGAACAACTTGTTTCGTTAAAAGCTATAATCACCGATTTCCATTGTCAAATGACTTAGGATTTGTTCATGGTTGATTATTCAACTGATTATAGATTTTGATTTAAGATAATCAGTTTTTGTGATGTTTTAAGTTGCTTTTGTTTTCATATTGTAGATTTTTTAATGATAAAAATAGTTAAAATCTATAATCACCCAAAAAGGACATTTGATGATTTTGATTATTCTCTATAATCAATTTCCATAATTGATTTTGTAAAATCTAAAGCAGGCGAGAACAAGGCCTCAATATTGTCTTGCATAATCCTAGAAATGCCTACGTATTTTCTAAATCTTGTTGTCAGTTTTTCATTTTTCATGCATTGTCTTTCCATCACGGTTAGGCAAAAAGGACCTCATTCTACTTTCTAAAAATATATATCTACTGGCCACGACATTTCAATCAAGGACCTTCAGTGAAAGAAAAATGCCATGAATTCATTGATACAAGAGAGACTGTCTTGTGACTGCTAACTGACAGGTGCCGAACCTGTGCAATAATAATTACTAAAAGTCCTAATTACCACCACAAATAATTATAAAACAAATCCAAGTATTGGAGCAGGGACCCTAGGTGTGCAATGGGTTACTTGATTCACCCTGTTCCCGAAGAGTTTGCTTGATCCGATATACCAGATTAGTCTATAAGAGTATTACTTTTGTGTACAATGGCAAGTAGGGTCGATTCCACAGGGAGCGGGTAGGAAATTATTTCTTTCCAAATTAGTAGAATGGAATTGGGGGATTTTCAATGGGAGGCAAACAATTAAAATAAAAATAAGAATAAAAATAAAGCGAACTAAATTCAAAACCAACTCACAAAGCACAATTCACTAAAAATGGCAATTAATAAAATTCTACCCAAAGATTCAACTGCTCAGGCACGGTCCAATTAAATGCTCATCGATGCAAAGGTATTTCATCCATTCATCACTAGATTGGTTATAGTTATCAATAAGCTCTGACAACCAGTTCTTCCTTACTTTTTCGACAGTCAAGGTACGACCATTAACTGCTTCCCTAACCAGATAACAACCCTAGGTATGACCATAGGAGTTTAATTACCCAATTGCATTAAAGCTAGAAGAACCCAACCCTAACCAATAAACACGCTAAGAGGGTTTATTTAAGCTAGATCTTGCGTTTCCCCATCATAAAGCCAATTATGGTGGTTGTCACGGGATGTTAACTAAATGAACAATTACGGATTCTATTTAATTAACGTGGCAGTAGGCTATTAAATTAAATCAAATACCCGGCCGTTGATATTCAATTAATACAATACCCATGAACAATTAATTCAGGAAACGCACGAATAGCAATAAATTGGAAGAAATAATAAAGATTCGATTAGATCTCACAGATATTATGGACCGCGCCTTTGCGTCAACCTTTGGGTAGAGGAGAAAATTAGCCGCTTCTCATCATGTCAATTCCGCGTGATTTAATTGAATTCATTCAATTAATTGCCGAAGAGGTTGGAGGAAATAAAGTAACGCAGAGCCAAAGCCGCAAGTCAAATTATCTACTAAGAAGAGACAAAAGCTCTCACGATGAAGCTCGCGTGGTTCTGGCTTCGTGTTGAAGCCGCCGGTACAAGCCAAAAACTACGCAGAAATTATCCAGTGAAAAGTCAAAAAGGGCAAGGACGTCTAGCGCCTGGGAAAAGGAAAAACTCAAACTCCCGTAGGGAAGAAAGAAAGAAAAAGCCAACGTCTCACTAATCTTGCAGAAAGGTAAAAACTAAAGCTAAGAGTGGTGATCCTCTGAATCTCGCTTTTTCTTCTTTGTATAGCCGTCGCCAGGAGCTCTCAGACGTCTGGCCCAATTCAAGCTAGCCTTTTGGAGTTTTAATCCCGTGCTCCTCGCGGTTCACGTGGACCGGAGTTCGGTTTTCGGTAACGTCTACCTTTTAAGGCGTGGCCACGCTCTGAAACGAAGGGTCTTCTGTAAATTTGCCTCAAGAGATCATTTTTAATGCCGACCACCTATAATTCATACAAATATGAAATATAAGTTAAACCTCAGTACTTCGCACAGTAAGTAGCCAAAATTAGGGCGAAATAACAGTGTAAAATGTGCCAAATAACCGCTCTATCACTAACAATTTGAATGATTTCATAATAGTTTAGCCAATGTAACCCTCTTAATTTACTGGGACAGGTTGGCTTCATTAGTTGAAGAGATTCCCAAGTGCTATATCATTCAAGACTTGATAAAAATTAATTTTTTAGCTAATAAAAAAACAACGGTTGCATGGATTTTTCTACAAGAAATGATTAATTAGTGAGCACAGACTGACACTCTACCATAAGACATGGAGAGGGCAAAGCAGTTTGGCCCTAAAAAGAATTAGACCTGTTGCAAAACCCTAATATAATAACATGTGCTGAATATAATTTTCCTTTTCTCACGTTAATTTCTGGATCTCAGGACTTGCTTTCTGTCAGTCTTGCCTCGAACGGTAAAAACACATTTTTTCACACACACGCTATGAGTTGAATATTGATTTGGTTTGATAAGGTTTATGGTTTGGCGTAGCAAGAGAGGACAAGTTTTTAGGTAATCGCGTAGATTAGGCAATTCGCAGAA